TGGAACTCCACCACCTGCATTCCCATTAGCAGGTGGACCACTATCATTACGCTGCTCTGCCATGATGCATCAACCACTGCTCTGCAAACAAAAGGTTATGAATGAAAAGATGCAAAAGAATTTAAAGATGTTACAGAATCTCTTCTAGTCAATGGTAAATAACTCACATAATATGCATCTATGCAACAATGTGATGACAACAATTGTTCAAAAAGGCGATCACAAACAGATGCTAAAGGAAAATATCGACTAACAAACCACATACCAACCTTTATTTTTTATCTATTTTTTTTTTATAACTTGCATGCTAATCTGGAAGTGTTAACCTGTGCTTCTGTGGGCTGGGGTGTCTACTAAAAGCAAAGGAGCTATCTAAAAATCTATGCACAAGCCATCAATAGATGGATGATTTTCTGTGAATGAGTGTGAAAGAGAATATATAGGTGAGTCTATGTAGATGCGGGCGTTGGATGAAGGTGAGTGTGGGGCTTGCATGGGGGTCGAGGATTGAGAAAAAACTAGGCTTAGAGGAAATGGTCAAGGATGCCCCCAAACAACAACAAACTCCGACACAAAATCTCCGAATATGGAAACTCAGACAAGTTTCAATAAAAGTTTCTCTTTTTTTTTTTTAACCCTAAGAAAAATTAGTTTTTTCGTAAGTAAAAACAACCAGGGAATCCACCAGACCAACTTCAATCCATCAAAATAAAACAGTTTTTAATCGCCCATCTTTAAGCAAAAAGAACTGTTTTAATCTAAAATTTCAAAAATTAAATGAATATAGGTTTTCCAGATTTAATAAATAGTAAGAGGAAACCCCAAAATAAAGTTAAATTCAAGCACATTAGCGTTCCCACAATCCCAAACACAAAAACCCCCCAAATCGAAAAAGAAAGTTTTGATCCCCAAATAAGCCCAATTAGGGTTTCAATTAAGTTAAAAAGCTATAAAAAGTAAAGAACCTATTCAACCAGCCCTAGAAATGAAACATAAACAGATTAATACAACTGAAATGACTCACCCTTTGATTGAAGAAAGAGCGAATCAAACAACCCGGATGAAGTTTTACGCTTCAGCCGCCGCCTGGATTTCGGTTTTGACCTAGCGGCGGAATGTAGCAACTAGGGTTAGGGTTGCAAAGCCACGGAGTTAATTTACACTAATTTTATCGCTAACACGTTATCAGTTTGAGTGAGGAAGCTAAGAAGATCAAACGCATCGAGTTTTTCCAAAAAATTTTGAAGATTGAAGAGAGAAACGAAGAACAAAGGATGAATTCTTCGTCGAGAGAGCTCAAAGAACGAATTCGGGGAGAGGATTTTTGGAGAGCATGCAAGAAAGAGAGCCAAGGTCGAGAGAGTGAATTTTGGGCTTGAGAGGAGTGAATGAATTATAGTAGTTTGATTTTCAGGCTTTCCGAGGTATTTATGGTTGGGTGAGTTGTGAATCACGGCAAGGAGTTTCTGATAATTACTCCAAATGCCACCGATTTTTGAACCAAATGACGAGTGTGTCCCGTGGATTATGAGGTAATTTGCGGTGGGGGAACGTACGGGTGTGGTTTCCCAGGGGTATTGTGATAATTTCAATTTTGGTAAAAGTTAAGGGTATTTGGATAAATGCGTTCAAGGAGGGTAGTTTTGGGGTTTTCCGCTCACATGTGGGGACAGTGGACCATACGGGGAACACGACATCGTTTTGTGCAGGGAAAGTGCAGCTGCCGTCTTCTTCTCTGCTTTCCCTTTTATTTATCTTTTCCGTGAAAATGGCGGGAAGCAAGGCTTTATTTTTTGGGGGGGTTTAAGGCCCTGGCGGGAAATTATCGGGTGTGCTCATGGTGTCCATGTCTTAATAAACATCATTTACATCTTTGTCATCATTTTCAACCTATATTGGATTATAAGGTTTTAAGTTGGGGAAAGTTTAGGTTTGGTTTGGTCCTAACAATTTATTTAGGAAAAAAGTGATTAACGATGCGAAAAGATATTAATTATAAACCTTTTTTCTTTATTATTGTATTTCCTTTAATTTGTTTCATGTCTCTTATGATTATACGTACATTACTCTTTTACTTTGTTCAATCTAAAATTCTAAGTTCATTTAGTTTATTTCTCTAAGTTCATTTATGAGTTCATTTGATTGCTTAAAAAAGTATTATTTCGTATAGTATTTTGCGTGTTCTTGTTTTTCCTTTAATTTTATCTTATGTCTGTTATGAATTTACATACTTAACGTCTTTTTACTTGTTAAATCTAAAATATTAGATTCGTTTAGTTTCTTCAAAACTATTACTCATAAAAATTTATATGTAATCGTGCTGTCCGTTTTTAATCTATCTCATTCCTGTTAAGGATTTACATATTTTAACTCTTTTCATTTGTTGATTCTGGAACACTAAATTCATTTCATGCCCATGGTCGATCATTATAAGGCTATTTTATCTACGAGCAATGTGTGGTGTATATAAGTCGAGTCTCAATATCTTGGACTTGTATGCCCCGGCGCTATCTATTGAAGTCCTCCCATAGGCAAATTTTGTGTACCCTATAAGGGAAGTCTCATGATGTATTTGGTCTAATATCTATCCTTAATTACTGCAAGGAAGGGACTAGTAGATTTCTTTGTCTAATACAAGGTAAGTAAATGATGGGATCCAATTTTAGAATGGATGAATTAGTCGAATTGCATTTGGATAACTTTTACAAGCACCCCTGACTGGTGATTTAAAGCAATGGACGTAAAATTTTATTACTTATTATAGTTGGCCTTTTGGACGCCATTTCAGCATATTTTAGGTGTTTGAAAAAAAAAAAAGGTAAAAGTTGAACGTTGAAATTTAAAATCGACACATTGATTTTATTAAACTTTTAAGCTGTCAATTTATTGTAATATCAGTGTCTCAATGAGAGTTTGTCTTAGTAATTCGTCTTGATTTGTACCGTTAAGTTTGTAGCCAAAATTATGTCCTACATAACTCACTAGACAAGACGTATACTATTATTAAAACATGTTTTACTCGCTCTATTTGTTTTGGGGAAGGGTGGGAGGGATGCTTTTGAGTTTGTATCCGGTCAAATAAGTATTAGTATCGAAGAAAATCAACATTTTTTTAGTTGAAAAAGTTGCAGATGTAGATCCAAATGATGCTCGATCCAATGATTTTTTTCGATAAGTTAGTCATCAAGTTGTTAAACATAGAATGAACTATTATCTTGTCACTCTTGAAGCTTAGTAGTATAATTGTGGACTTTCTCAACGGGTACCTCAGAATCTCTATAGGGCTTTTCTTGTCTGTATCAATGGAACTACGCCCTACTAGAACATTGACATGGCGAGTACGTTCGAAGTTTTGGGGAAATTGAGCACCATTTTTGTAGAAATAAAGAAACCCTCTGCAGAAAGTAATTTATCTGGTTAACAATGATCTAATATGAATGAGTAGCACTTTCACTATTCTAGTATTCTTGGAACAAACAAATCAAGTAGGCCTAGTATTGGATGCTCCCAACTTCTGTGCATATATAAGATAAACACTTCTGCTCATAATTAGAAAGTGTGTCTTGTCTGGTTAATGTTCTTAAAAGGAAGAGAGAAAACATAAAAAAGAATGATACTCTTACCCCGTTTGGATTGCCATTTTAGGAGTTTTTATTAAAAAAAAAAATGTAATGTAACGATTTAATATATGTGAGGTAAAAAATTAATTAAAAAATATATTTATGAAAAACGTAAAATTTTTTTGCATAAAATCACAATCCAAATAGCCATTCTATGGCTTCTATTTTGCCATGCAGATAAAGGCAGACCTCTTTTTCTTACATGATTTTTAATTTTCTACTACTTTAGCAACATATGGAAGTGAATAGGGATTAAATGGCATATTTAACCTAAAAATTTTGTACGTGTGAATGACTATTACAAGAGTAAACCGCATGAAGTTCTTTTCTTTAGTTAGTAGCCCATGTCAACTGATGGATGGTAAAGCTACAAGTGTTTTGTAGTAAGGTGTTTGGAGAGTCATGAAGGGGATTCATGATCAAAATTTCATTTACTTGAAATAGTGATCAGTCAATTAAAATAGAGAAAGAAAAGAAAAACATTGATACCTAAAAAATTTAGGTTGAATCACTAGCCTTTAGACTGGCGGCCACCATCAAGCCATTAAGGCTTGGCCACCATCACACCTTGCCTCCCATCAATTGGCACAGTATGTGGCTCTCTAACAAATCTAGATGGGTGTGTAGTGCATCCGTCTAGTCCGATGGTGATTTAGTCCCCGTTAGCCCCCCCATAAATCTAGTTGGGTTTCTCCTAAAATAGGTTAAAGTAGGAGTAGGAGTAGGTGTAGAATAGATTATTATCTACTGTAGAAAAAAAGAAAGCCTAGAAAATTAGGTTGGACTGTGCAACATCTTGTTAACATTTGTCAAATGAACTATGCTTTTGCACAATTTAAGGGGAAGCAGAAGAATCAAATAATACTTTGGCCTTTCAAATTTCTAGTAAAATTCGTGATAGATTCAAAACTATATCAATTAAATCATTCAAACATTCATCATCAAATAGTACCATTTAAAACCCTTCATCATAACATTTTTTAAAAAAAATTAACCCCAAAGAAAATATCAAATATATCTTGAAATCATCTTTCTCATCATCAGAATAATAAAATACAAGACCCGTAAATTGCAATTCAAGAATTTCGAAAATCAAAACCCTCGGCATATCTTGGCTAAGTTTACCAATTCAATGTCAATCTAATGTTTTCAAATAGATAATTACATATAAGTAAACCCCAAACAAAAAATAGAAAGATGAATTCTCAATATATATAAAAGGAATCCTCAATATTAAACATGAATTCAAAAAAAAAAGTTTTAGAAAGAAAGATAAGAGTCACGAGACAGCATACCCATAACCGTTATCCAACAAACATCCTCATTGCTGAAGTCGCCCAACTACCTTAGTACCGACTCAGTGCCAACCCTTCTCCTTTTCCTCTTCTCTTTTGCTCCTAATTTTTATTGTATCATCGATCCACCTGCCCATTCTTCTCTTTAAAGCCAATAATTCTATCTCTCCTATCCGATCAGATCTCTTTCATTTATCCTCTCGTGGAAAGAGTCTTGATAGCTGGTAATATATCACTACTACTGTACTTCAATATTTCTTTGAGTATAGCTGAGTGGAAAATATAAGACTTGGGTTTTTTCTGGGATTTTTTTTCTTGAGTGCATAATTGGATAAAAAGAAGGGAAAACAATGGCAAGAAAGAAGATCAGAGAGTATGATTCAAAGAGACTTCTAAAGGAGAATTTGAAAGGACTTGCTGGGATTGACCTGCAGATCTGCTCTGCTCAAGTAATCCCGTTTTCTATCTTCTGCATTATCCAATCCCCTTTTTTGTATTTAATATGATTACTGCTCACGTTATCTGATGAATTTGAATAGAGTTCTTCAGTTTTTGTGGTTTTGATTTTGTGCTATAGGCTTTAGATACGTTAATTGCATTTGGGACTGTGATTTTCTTGATTGGAGTTTAATATAGTAGTTTTCTATTGTTCGAATTGGAATCTTTACAGTTGGACATTGAATTTTGTGTTGTTCCTTCTATTTGCTAAATGTTGGAAGTTCTCTTTATTGTATTTCAGTTGCCAAAGGGTAAATGATTAAAAAGAGCCAATACTACCTGGGACTGCAATCATACTGTTAGATTGTATCTGAGTCACTGTTATAACTCCTCTTAAATAGGCCACCTTTGTAGGAGATTTGCTTCTGTTTGACGCAACGATTGAAAAGTATTAGTTAAAAAAATGACAACCTGAACCTTATCATGTAAGTTTTTTGAAGAATCACTTCTGGAATACATAGTTGAAAAGCATTAATCTACTTGGAGAAAGAGTTAAATGGTGTAAAGCAATGAAAAGGAAAGTTCTATGATCAGAAAAATACTACTTTGCGGAATTATGATTAAAATGAATAAGTGAGGAAAATGGAGTTGACATCCTTTTGAAATGAGTAGAAAAGACCTAGAATTTGTCAAGTCTAGTGATTTCAAAACCTGGAAAATGTCAGTTCAATTCAAGTTACTGCTTCGCAATATCAATCTTGTCAAGGGTCATTATGTTCCATTACTTTCTCTGTCGCTTACCCATGTGAACAAGCAACAGGTGAAAAGGGGATGCCAAATATAAAGGCTCTAAGGATGCTCCACCAAGTAGCCGTAATAAGTGGTTCAGTTAGCTTGGTAAACTTACATAAATAACACTAGATGAAATGACATATTTTTCATGTATTTCTAGTCTTCTCCTTGGGAACCTGCTGTATGGCACATCATTTTTGGCTTTCTCTTTATGAAAACATTTCAGCTGTGATCTACAGTATACATGTTTATTGACGCTTTCTCTTGACAATGCTCTTTGTACTAAAGAGTCACTTATTTTATGGAAAATCTTAAAACTGCTTGTAGGTGAATGAATCTACGGATTTCACGGAGTTGACAAACCAAGAACCATGGCTTTCATCTACACAGTTGGTTGTTAAACCTGATATGTTGTTTGGGAAGCGTGGTAAGAGTGGGTTGGTAGCTTTGAATTTGGATCTAGCACAAGTTGCTGAGTTTGTAAAAGCTCGCCTTGGTGTGGAGGTAACCAAGGAATTGGATTTTCATTTACTTCTGACGTTGTCGTTTGTGCTACTAATGCATGCATTTGATGACTTCTAGGTTGAGATGGGTGGTTGCAAGGCACCTATTACAACCTTCATTGTTGAACCATTTGTTCCCCATGACCAAGAATATTACCTCTCCATAGTTTCTGAAAGGTTAGGGAGTACCATTAGCTTTTCAGAATGTGGAGGTATTGAAATTGAAGAGAATTGGGACAAGGTGAAAATTTACCAAATTCTTGTGCTATGAATTAGAAGATTCTGGAGAATTGCTGTTGCACGTATGTCATGGTAATTGGATTATCTTAGGGAAACTGATGATAATAAATAAGTTTCCTATGTTACAGGTTAAGACAATCTTTCTTCCAACTGAAAAACCTATGACAACGGAGGCATGTGCTCCACTGATTGCTACACTTCCTTTGGAGGTATAAACCATAAGTTCTTCCCTTTGCCTCTGTTGGGAATGAACACTTGAGCAGTTATTTTTCACTGAAGATTAAAAGAAATATATTGTTATACCCTGAGTTTTTTCAAGCAAAAGTTGTTTAGGAAAATAACCAATGAAGAAGAAGAGGAGGGCATTCATGCCTTCTTTGGCCTTATTGAACTGATCAAATTTTCTGGCTTCCTTCACAATCTAGTTTCCCTTAATTGAATTTAGGTGAATGGATGACTTGTAGACTGTTATAAACATGACTGAAAGTTGACGTGCCTTGTCTTTATATTTTGGATGAGTCAGGCTTATGGTTTGAATTAGAATAGTGGTTGTTCTTTCTGTGCTCTAAGTTGGGGAAATATACAAGGCTCCAGGTGTTATTTTCCCTAATTATTGCACATTTCTGTCACAAACTTGCATTGGATGAGTGAGAAGTTTTGTTTGTTACAACTACCATAACTCATTGTTGGCTTTCTCAAAACTGTTGGATTTTCCAGAGTGTACAACCAGTCTACTGATTGGAGTTAGGAGTCTAATGTATGACATAAAAGTGTGTAGTGGCTAGTTGGAAGTAACTGGTAACAGTAGAGAATGCTAGGTTCTGGCTATGGATTGCCTTTTACTACCTTTGCACGTTGATGAATGTGGAATAGAAAGCCCATGCATTTTACCTAAACAAGGTCAAAGAACCTATTTTTACAAATGTGGTCCCGCATAAATCTTTACTTTCGTGTTCAAGAGACAAATGCCAATAGGTCTTCTAGTTATGTGGTCTATCGGGTTTAGTAAATCTAATGCATGATTTGCAACTCCTCCATGTATGATCCCAAAAGGTGGAAAGATGTATCATCCAGTCTGCCTATTGGTTGCACATGCTCATGTTCATTCTCGAACATTTTAATGTTCTTTTCTTTTACATTTCTTGTTTAATCTCTGGAGTATCTGGCTGAATTTTAGAAATTATCTGACTCAGGTACGAGGGAAGATTGGGGACTTTATAATGGGCGTATTTTCTGTATTTCAAGGTATGCAGTGTCCAGTAATGACAGTATACTTGGCATTTCCAAATCTGTTATTGATAATCGTTTAATGTAGATGATCTAGGTTCTTTCCATCTATAGCTGTATTGCTCCGAGTATTGTAATTTTGTGGAAGATCCTAAATTTGTAAAGATAATATGATTGATCATCTCTGACTTCTTTAAGAAAAAGTTCCATCGTTTTTTTAATAGAGTAGTTAATTTACTTTTACAGTTTTGTTCTTTCTGCAAGATGAAAGAGTGTTAAGTTTATTATTTTTTTTCAGGTAGTGAGTGGCATGATTGTTTGCTAATTAAATTATTGAGATCATAAAGTTAGTGAACTTCTTTGTTTCTATATCTCCACAGATCTGGATTTCAGTTTCCTTGAGATGAATCCCTTTACATTGGTAAATGGGGAGCCATATCCATTGGACATGCGAGGAGAGTTGGACGACACTGCTGCTTTTAAGAACTTTAAGAAGTATGTCTTAAGAGTTTTATCATGTGGACATGAACTCTGAAGTTCCAACTGGAGATACTTTGCTGTTCGATATCTGATCCTGTTTTACTTTTGTGCTTTTAGGTGGGGTATGATAGAGTTCCCTCTTCCTTTTGGAAGGGTTTTGAGCTCAACTGAGAGCTTTGTTCACACATTGGATGAAAAAGTAAGTCGCTTATCTTTCTGCTCATCCAAGCATATCACAGCGTCATTTTGTGTTTTATAAGGCTAATTTGTCTGATAAGGGCCATTATTGTGGTTGTGTAACTACATTTTTGTAGGGGTGAGCAAGTTCGGTACGTACCGAATTCATACCCGAATTCAAATTCAATTTGATAATTTGAAATCGGATATTTGGTAATTTGGTACAAAAGCAGTAATTACCGAATTCACCGAATTCTAATATGGTATGAAATAGGTAATGAGATTATGAATTTGGTATTAACCGATTTCGAATTTGTTTATAAAGAATTGGTTTAGTATTAGTATATACTACTAATATATTATTATATTATATAGGTAAATGCTATTAATAATAGTTAGTATATGGTATTATCATGTATTTATGATAATAATAATATATAATGATGTACAATATACTATTTCAGTATTTGTTAATTGTTTATGACTATAATAATACAAATATACAACAATATATAACATAACTATAATACTTATTATTTTATACATGACTCAAATTAGATAATAATTAATAAGTATAGGTATAATACATAACTATATTTAAGTATAACTATAATACTTATTATTTTAATTAGGCTGGAAACTGCAATTAAAGGATTCAGCAAATTTTTTTTTTAATGAATTCGGTTAAACCAAATTCATGACCGTTTCCGAATTCAAATTCGAAATTGAATGAATTCGGGTATCTCCAATTCGAATTTGAAAGCTGTTTAGATTTCTGTAAGTCCAATAACCAAATTTACTGAATTCATATAACCGAATTACCGAATATGCACCGTTTGCTCACCCCTACATTTTTGAAAGTTGTATTTTTCAAATGCTAATTGAACAACTGGTGGCTTGGAGACAAAAACAGCTTTTGCCCATCAAAACCACTAAACAGTCGAGGCATTCTGGAAGTTGAGGGCATACAGCTTAAAGTTGCAGTGTCATATCCATTGAAAGAAGAAATGGTGGGAAAAGAAAGGGAGCTTCTTGCCCTGAATTTTACTGCAGTTCACTGAAGTGAGACATTGAGTATCATTGTCAGATGAGACCAAGTTCACTATATAAACTTGCTTGTTTTTGAGCGAGATTCATTTGACCACACAATTTTTGTCTGTTTTGAGGAAACTGTCATTTTTTTGGGCTCATAATTTTCTTTGATAACTTGAGTTTGATTGTCATTGGAGCTACTTCATGGCAAAATGTGTTTGGTGGCTAATGTATTTTGTTGTTAACAATTGCAGACTAGCGCTTCTTTGAAGTTCACTGTTCTGAATCCTAAAGGACGCATCTGGACAATGGTGGCTGGTGGTGGTGCAAGTGTTATTTATGCTGATACAGTGAGTATTCAAACATATCCCAAATAGCTTACCGCTCAACAAATGTTGCTGCTCAAAGGCAGTTCTGAGCTTTTGTGAATATCTCATTCATCTGTGGTAATTTTGTTTTCTAGTATGTCTAAAAATCTTTTATCTAGGTTGGAGACCTGGGATATGCATCAGAGCTTGGTAACTATGCAGAATACAGTGGAGCGCCAAATGAAGAGGAAGTTTTGCAATATGCTCGAGTAGTCATTGATGTAAGGAATTTAGTGTTTTGTCTTCAATGACATTTCTATTAGTTTTACCTTTTTTGTTTTCTCACTTGCTTAACGAATAATCCATCTTAATACTGGTGCAGTGTGCAACAGCAAACCCTGACGGCCGTAAGAGAGCTCTACTTATTGGTGGTGGCATTGCAAATTTTACTGACGTTGCTGCTACTTTCAATGGGATTATTCGAGCTCTTAGGGAGAAGGTTTGGTTGACTTAGCCGCAGTCTAATATTTTATTTTCTTCCATCATTCTTTGAATGATAAACTCTTCATTTCCTTATTCTCTTACTCTCTGTGAACTGGGTAGGAATCCAAGTTAAAGGCTGCCAGAATGCATATATATGTTCGAAGAGGTGGTCCTAACTATCAGACTGGCTTGGCGAAGATGCGTGCTTTGGGAGAGGAATTGGGAGTTCCCCTTGAGGTACGAGATTGTGAATTTCTTTTTTGACGTACCTGTTGCATGAAAGTATCACATACAGAATGGAGCTTTCTTGTAGTAGGGCCTAAAATGAATTTAGCATTGCATCGTCAACGGTCAATATCTCATTTGAGTGCATTGTGAGATTGATCCTAATTTCCTTGTACCCAGGCAAATCTTCATGAATCTAAAGTTTGTGTCTTTTCTTGATCTATTGAATAGAACAAAACTTACTTAATTCTTGTCAGGATGAAACAAATCCTACTAGTGTTGCCTTGTCGTTTTAACTTTAGTTTTTCAATCATAGGCTTGAGTATATCCATTTTCACTCATTAAACGGCATAAAACTGGAAAAGAATGGTCTGGATGCTTTTTACTGTTTCATATCTTAAATCATGTTCATTTTTTGACTGTAGGTTTATGGGCCTGAGGCTACAATGACTGGAATTTGTAAGGAAGCGATTGAATGCATAATGTCTACAGCATAGTTTTGCAACTTCATCTGACAACCTGCTTGTTCTTCTTTTTCACACTTTTAGACACAACCTGCGATAAGAAAGGACAAATGGATTTCTGATCCAGCCATGGCATTTGTTTTGCTTTCTTCCTTTGGCAACTGTGAATACTGAAATTGGACATCTTGAAATGTTTGGTGATCAATTGTATCTTTTTTGTTGGTATTCAAACTGGCAGCTTCGAGTAATAATTGCATGTAGGCAAGATTTAATGAAGGCTTGTTTTTGATTGCTCAATATGTGGATTATGAGTTTTCTAAGCTACAACTTTTCTTTTCCTGTTCTCGCATGTTTTTATTACTAGCTTTTTTTTTTAAGCTTATATCAAGCTGGGACAAAAAAAACCTAAAATGGTTAAAAGAGTGTGGCTTATTTGCCAACAGAAAATGGAAAAATCTTGATCGGTTAACGAAGCATAAAAATGCTTAACTAGAAATTTCCCCCCTCTTTCTTTCAATGCGGCATTGAAGTGGTTCCTTTCTACTTCGTCAGTGTTGATGATTTCGTTTTGCTTATGGATCTTCTGTTCTGTGAGTTGAGCTCGTTCGTGTTTGTATAATAAAAAAAAAACGACTATTCAGAATTGATTAGATGTAGTGTACTGTGGCCACAAAGAAACTCACCTTTTACTTATCCTTTACCACCAGCTTGATGTTTGATTTAAGGCCAAAACTTGGGTAGATCCAATTTTCAAATAGTAAATAAGACTTTTTATTATTCCATCCCTCTCTAAATCCTTTCTAACTCCAACCATTAGATTCAGAATTCGAACTCTAAAAATCTTCGAACTCTGAATCTAATAGTGAGGTAAATTCTAAAAACTCTTTCCTGATCACTGGGCCAACCCTAATGATTAACAGTGAATAACACTTGAGATCAACTCCGTGTGAAAAATTTCTGATATAAAAACTTAGCTTCAAATATCTAAATGATGTGAAAATGATTAGTATTGCAACATGAATAGATGTTCAAACGTGATATTGAAGTTCATTGGCAAAAGTTAACCATAAGAATGCAACTAGAACGTCTTCAATTTTCCTTGATGTAGATTGCTTTAATTAGGGAGGACAAACATTATTCCAATACCTGTGGATTAAAACGGCCGCAATCTCCTCCCATAGCTTTGGTTCTTGACTGCAAACCTTTGATCCTTCCTCTGCTAGTTGCTACAATCATTACCAATAATACGTCGACAATCTTCGACAGTCACCTTTCAAATATTTGATCGGAAATATATCTTTCCTCAAACTTCATGGGGAATCAATCCATTATCGAATGGGTTTCACTTAACAAATCTTCAGCATCAATCCATTGTCGAATGATTTTTTCTTTCTTTTTTGGTGGGGGGGGGGGGAATAAATAGCTAGTTAAACTGTACTATTTGGCATTTCCTTCCTTTTTCATTTTTTTTTTTGTGGTGTCATCATTTACACAGCATGTGGTTCTATCATAAACGAACATTTCTACATTACTAACATAATTCACCGGAATTGAATGCTGAACTACTTTAATCCCCTCTTTTTCTTCTTTGGTGGTTTAGGGGTTGAGGAACATATTTCTCAAAATAGAAATTTCTTGTACTTTATTAATATTTTGTCGTTTAACGTTTTCAGATATATATATATATATATATATATATATTGATGTTTGAGGAGGTGATTTTTGGTTGGTACCTAGACCGACCTGGATCAGTCCTCTCTGAGATGAAGTGAGGTGAACTCCTGTGTCCGAAGTGAACCTCGGTGTCCGAAGTGAGTGGCGGGGCTTCTCCCCTGGTATCACTCCGACGATCAAGTTAGTATGAGAACGAGAATAATGAGAATGAGTTAATGAACAGTGTGCTTACTTGTTGGGAGTGTGTCTGGGGTATTTATAGAAGAGAGGTGGCCAAGACGGAAGGCTCATGCTAGCGGGACCCACTCTCTGGCATTACGGCTCTGTCTCCTGTCAGGAGGTCTGACTCTGACACTGTAGCCGCCTGGGAGTGATGACGGAGGATATGGTGCAGGTGCCATTAAGTGCCCCCAGTGCTTTTCAGATAAAGTGCTGGTCCTGGATGATGTCAGGTGGGTTGACATCATCAGCGTGCAGCTGAGGCGGGGGTGCCGAGGTCGGCTACACAGTATGCTATGGAAACGGCCGAGCCCGAGCTCAGGGATGATGTCCGGGACACGGATGAACTCCGATGAGGGACGAGGTGAGTCCACCTCGGCCACTCGGGATGGCCGAGGTGAGCATCCTCAATAAGCCCCCCAAGCCTCGGATGCTCCGAGCAAGGGAGGTGCCGAGGCTTCCTAGTGCTGAAGTCATGAAGAGTCGAGGCTCCAAAACCGCTCCGGAAGATGCGGGGACTCGACACGTGGACGAGTCAGTTGATAGGACGTGGTCACTGATAACCGTCGCGTCGTGAAGTAGCGGGACGTTTCGTGCAGAAGGTGTCAGTCGAAAGGACGGGGCATTAATGAGGAGAGAGGGAGGCGTGACGTTTTGAATTCGATCGTGATCGTCTTTTCGTATTCTTGCCGCCTCTTCGGATTCTGGCTCTCCTCTATAAATAGGTGGTCCCTTTCACCGCATGGCCCATCACTTTCTTTCTTCGCTTGTGACTTGCAAAATTTGTGAGCGTAGCCGAGATCAATCCTGCCAGCCGAGATCACAGCCGAAGTCGTCCACTTCGTCCAGTTCGGAATACAATAGTAAGTATCCCTTTTTCTTCTTGTCTTGTCTTTCACATATTGCCAAAACGGCTAAAACCCACAAAGAAACCGTGACCCCGAGCTACCAGACCGAGGTGAGGGCGGATTCTGAGGAAGAAGCGACGACGTCCAGTTCGGAGGGGTCGGCACAGGGTTCCGAGGAAGGATCGACCGAAGTGAGAGTCGGCGAGGCAGGCTCGGGATTGGAATCGTCCGAGATGAGCGAGGGTGGTTCCGAGGTCGAGTACAATACCGAGCTCGGGACCGAGATACCCCATGACGAGGGCGTGCCGGAGCCAGTTGCTCCAGTGGACGTAGCCAACATCAATTTCGGCCAGATGCCGAAGTTTAGGAGTCGAGTGGGAAGGGATAGGGCCGAGAAGGTGGTAGACAAGTACCCCTTCCGGCCGTGGTATGAAGTTTTGCCGCCCGAGGTGGATGACACAGCCGCGGAACCCCCCTTTGGCATGGTGGCCGTCTACATTCAACAGCTGGAGGCCGGGCTGAGGATGCCGACGTCGAGGTTCCTCCGGGACTTACTTCGTCACTTCCAGGTGAGAATCACCCAACTCACCCCGAATGCGATCCGCATCATTGTGGGGTTTGAGATGCTGTGCCGACATCAGGAGGTGACTCCCTCCGTCGATCTCTTCCGCCGATGCTACACCCTCAAGGCGCACGCGACTGATAAGAGATGGTTTTATGTTGGCAACCGGAACAATGCCATCCCGAAGTTGGTGATCGGTGCTCCCAGCTCGATCAAGAACTGGAAGCGCGACTACTTCTTCGTGCCCGGAGTGGACTTTCCGAGGGGTTTTTGGTGGAGGCCAATTAAGGCGAAAGCCGACCCCTCAGCGGGGGATGCCGAAGAGGAGTCCTTCCAGAAGCTGATGAAGTCGGGACTTCGGCTATTCAGCCATGACTACCCCGAAGCCGTGCTCGTGGATGGGGGGATAAGTCGAGCCGTGATCAATACTACCAAAGCTCCCTTCTTTTCCACTGAACTTGAGAAGCCTTGTAATTTTCTTTCATGACTTTTCTTTTCACTTCGGCTAAGGCATATGATAATATTTATTTCTTGTGCAGTGACTAAACTGTCCGACCTCGTCGTCTCTGGCTCGTCCGAAGTGGCCAAGAGGCAGAAGAGGAAGAGCACTGACGAGACCTCAGCACCTCCGCCCAAGAAGAAGAAGTCACAAGGACCAGCCGCTAAGACCTCGGCGCCTAAAGGCACTCCCTCCAAGGTTGGCCAGAGCAGCTCGGCCACTGCGGCTACTGGGTCCACCTCGTCTGTACCAGAGGGAGTCCCCCTTGGAGTTGTTACAAAGGTCACCCCTCCTTCTGGCCGAGGCAAGCAGCTGAAGCCTCCAGTTAATCCGGTATCGGGGACCTCGCTATGGAATCGTTTCCATAGCCCCCCAGTGTTTCCCGGAGACGAGAAGACGCACTCCGGCAATCATTGGTGTCCGAACTGGAAGATTTCGGTCAACGACAGGTGCCAACACCCTCGGGTCGCTCAAGAGCTAATAATGCACTCCATTCTGCCAAGGGATTTGGAGTTCATGAAGAAGCTGAGCCCGGCCGAGCTGGTTCAAAGTCTGATGGTGACCACGGCTTCCACCTCAGCCTTCGCGGCCGAGATGGCACACCGATATTGTGCTCTGGTCGATGAGCAGGACACCGGCAAGCTACAGAATCATATCTCCAAGTTGGAGAAACAACTGGCGGTGTCCGAGTCTGAGAAGGCCGAGCTTGAAAAGCGGCTTAAGGAGGCCGAGGTGAAGGATGAGGAGGCCGTGGCTACTGTCAACAGTCTCAGATCGGCTCTCGAAGAAGAGCAGAAGAGGGGGGACGAGGCGAAGAAGTCCCACGAGCAAGCCCTTGACAGTGCTAGAACCTCGGCCGTGGAAACGTTTCGGAGGTCTGAGGCCTTCACCAGGGATCTCGGCCAACTACTCACGCCGAACTTCATGTTTGGCTTCACATCGGCCATAGATGAGGCTGCAGCTCACCTCTCCTCCGAAGCCTTGGAGTCCCTGAAAAACCATGCCAGCTACAATGAGGACTCCAAGGAGTTGTGCGACCGGATGGCCGAGGGCCTCCAAACTGGAAGGAACCTGACCGAGGTCCAGGCCGAATTCAACAAATGGCTGTCCGAGCTCGAGGAGGTGCTCGAGAAGGTTGAAGAGGAAGAAACTGGAGAGGATGCCGGGGGAGACGAAGCCGGAGAGGACGAAGTCGGAGGGGACATCGGCAAAGAGCCTGAAGATGAACACCCCGGCGGAAAAGAGGCCGAAGAGGAGGCTGCCCAGGAGGGAGCCAAGACCGGGGATGCAGCCGATACGGGGGTTTAGGCTTGTAGGCTTCAAGGGGGTGGCCGAGGTGAGGTGCTTAGTAGCACTCCGACCTCGGCCTTGTATTTTTTGTAATACTTCCATTGAATGAAAGTCTGTTTCTTTTCATCTCAGCTCTTTAATTCCTTGTTTCTTGCTTTGACTTCATCCCTTGTTTGTCCCCCTTATTTTTTAATAAAGGTGCTGGGC